ATTTTGTACAAAGAGGTACAGATACCATGCTAGGACAGTCCAAAGTTTCACCTGTTTCACACGGGCCTTGCACGCAGCAGATCACTTTTTGCAATGACGCAGCACTTCACGGATTCAGGAGACACCCCGTTGTGGCACCTCTGTGTGCCGACGGGTGCTGAGTTGACCTCCCTCCGGGGGGGGATGCCTTTCGCACCCTTACCTGCAGGCTTTCGTCGTTTGCTATGGCCGCCACTGTGTGATCACTGACTGGTAACATGCCTCTGGACTTGTAAGTGCAACCAGTTGCATGGGTTGTGCTACAAGAAAGGTCTTTTCCACGGCATACTGCATAGCTACGCTACTCCATTTTGACATGGAGGCAACCGGCGTTGGAGCATTGCGATACTCCTAACCTGCATCGTGACCATGGTTTTGCCGCACTGTGGTGTGGCCGCTGGTCACTAGTAAGTAGTAAAGTCCATTTGAAGCCTTTTCGGAGACTCTGCTAGAGCACAGACTGCGCCGCCATGCTTTTCGTTCGTGAATTCAGGCCCTTTACTAGCCATTAGTTTGCGTTTCACTTGTTTCACCTAGCACAGAGGAAAGACTACAAGATGGTGGAGACTCGGCCCGTGGGCTGTGCTTTGTTTTGTTTTGGGTTGTTTTGGTTGTCCTTGTTCTTTTCTCCACCATCTGATTGTTCTTTCCTTCCTTCAACGATGACCTGGGCATCATGCCCACACGGCGTCCGTACTCGTGGAAAAAAATTCGAATCTGTTTCTTGCAGGATGCGGTCTACAAAAGGCGTGATTTCCATCACATTCGTTCGAGGTGCAGAGAATTGCGGCGATCTGATGACCAAGGTGTTGTCGAGAGCAGTCACGTTGCAGCGCTTGGAGAAGGTAGGGGTTGCTCGAGGTTTTCTGAATACGTTGGAAATTCCATACGATTGGATCGGAAGGTGGTGATGGATCTTAGAGAAGGTTTCGCGTAAGAGTCTTTTGATATGTTGAGTTTTACACGTCGCCGGAATCTGAGATGAAAGCTGAAGGAGAGCGTTTGGAAGGTGTTGAAGTATTGATGATTGCGGAGGCAGATGACGGAACCCGTACGGGCACAATCGAAGAGACGAGAGAGTCGATGTTGAGTCACAAAAAGAAAGGAAAGCTTGTTGTCTTATGGTCGTCGATTCCGTGCGCCGGAGGATGTCCGTTTCAATATATTTGTCTCAAGAAATATGGTCAGGATTACGTGGGTCATCTTGGAGAGTTGTATCGAACCCAAAAGAAGCTTTGGAAAGGCTTTCTGCGTTTGTCAGAAGTAACCTGATTTCGTAGCGATTGAATGGCCAAAGCGATGCGCTTATTGGAATCAGACGAAAGAGCTTCTGAGAAAGAGTTCTGTATTCCACTTTCGTTGAAGCGTGTTCAGTCGATTTGACGCAGAAGAATGAGTTGGTCAAGAAGACATGGAGAATAGATACTGATAGTACCCGTTTGCTTGAGAGTCTTAAGGCCTGTGTCTGTGATGGTCGTAATGATCATTTGTCTTCCAAAGATGTCAATTGGAAAGAGACGCAGCATTGTCCCAAGAAGCTTTGCGAGCTAATCCTTAGAGGATGTAAAGCCGAATTAACAGCACACGTTTTTGCTTACCGCAAGTTTGATGTTTCGCCCATACCATCCTGAGGTATGATGATGGCCCTGGATGTGGGAACAATGCTTGCTGCGCTTAGCTTGGAAGCCGCGGCCGCTATGGTCTTTGCAGCGGGAGTCATTTGTGGCAGCCTGCTGACCTGCTGCTGTCTGAGTCGGCGTCGTGAGCGTGCTGAATTTAGCCGTTTGAAGAAAGAGCCTACCACGGTGAGTGGTATACCATTGCAGTGTGTGAGAAGGTTTAGTTCCCAGTGAGTGGGAGCAAGGTTCTTTTGAATCCGTCTTGCAAAGGCATGGTTGCACCAATGTCGAAAGACTCGTGTTCGAAGTGTCTGTCCTCACTGAAGAAAAATAAGAAGGCTTGATGTCAGCCTATAGTTCCGAGCGGAATGTTCAAGAGGGGGTGAAGAAATCCATTTGTCGGATGGCCACCTCGCTCGTGCTTGTTGCTTTGTTTGGTTGTTGTTGTTTTGTGTTGTTTGGCTTGTGTTCTGCAAAGGAGAGAGCCGGACTTTAACACGGTAGTTTGTTTCTTGAAAGTTGAAAGGGTTCTTTAGCGTTTTCGAGTGTTTAGAAGTTTTTTTGTAAAGATTTGCTTTTGTGTAGTATGCATATGTACAGTCTTTGAATGACTGTTACTTTTGGCTCAAGTGTGTGTAAAAAGGACGCGAGGGAGTGCACCACGTTAGCTTGAGTTGTTGTTGACTTGAAGAGTTGCAAGAGTGTGAGAACGAGTTTTGGACTGTACCGGACTCATTTAGAGAGCCTGCTGTGAACTTAAAGATCCAGGGGAAGTGTAGTTTACCATAAGGCTTGCTACCCGCGTTTTTCGCTTTGCGCGCAGCAAGTGTGCGTTGCAGTGTTATTCTGATTAGCTGCAAGATTCAGATGGCAGTTGCCGAACGTGCCAGTCAGTCCAGAATGGAGCAAGCCTAGTGATTGGCCAGCGCAAATCAGAACATGGTTCTGTGAATTTGGCTTCAGTTGCGGAGCATTACCATGCTGAATTGGACACCCAAGACCATGGTCATGCGTCTGAGCGTCTGCTTACTTTGGCGCATGGGCGGAATGGCAAAGCTGGTGTCGCAGAACGACACGCCAGGGCTTGGTGCAATCGTTTCTGCAGGCGATTTGCTTTGATTCAGACAGAGTTGGAGGATTGGGTGTGAAGGGCACATGTTGTTTTGTGGAATCCAAATTGCCCAGTTTGGAGCCAACGGGCCAGTTCTCAAAATAGTGCTGTGTTTGCTCCAGATTGGACACTTCTTCTTGCGAACCGTTTTTCTGGGAACCATTTTGGGAACCATTTTCGGATCCGAAGCAGGGGTCGAACCTTGCGCACGTCCGGTAGTTTCTGGCATTGTTTTTTTAGTAGCATACGGACCTCCAATGGAAAAACGCCCATGGTGCTGACGAGATATCGTGGAGCTTGCAAGTTGCTCAAGGTGGAGCGGGTCATTTCGAAGTTGATTCACTTCTGAACTGGAGTGTTCCTTGTCTGGTAAGTACTGCAGCTACATGCCTGTTGGTGGCAGCTCCACCTCTGTGTGTTCACAGCCATGTCTTCTGGAAAGCCTTTCAATTTGCTCCGTTTACCAAGGGCACCACAGTGTGCGCAGGAACTTCAAGAGTGTTGACACCAGAATGGTGGAGACAGCAAACAAGCTTTGCAACAGCAACAAGGTTTTCATTTGCAGCTGAATGACCCATGGAGAAGTCAAGATGCTTTGCAACTTTGCCAACAAAGTCTCTCCATGTTTGTTGGAAAATAAATCCAAAATAAGACCAAGAACGTTGTAGAGTCCGGAGTCGCCACAGTCGCTGTTGTACGCAATGGAAACATTGGGCGTGTTGGAGTGTTGACGCTGGACTTGCGCAGTTTCACGTTCCGTGGGCAGCAATCCATCTTGCACCTGGAAACTCGGATTGACATTTTTGAGGAGGTGCTGCAAAATGCGTCAACGGGCGACATTTTGGAGGACGGAATCTGACCCCAAAACAAATCAATAAGGCCACGACACAGCAGAGGGAGACGTTTGAAACACGCCTTATTTTGACCCCAAAATACGATCTCATGCACAGTCATCTCTGTTTGAAGTTTGGCAATGAGCAGCGAGAAAGATTATTGAAGAGCAGTAGCAAGCGTTTCGAGATCAGGTGTGCAGATCAAGGGTCTGGAGTTGCATTGGAAGTTCAGGTTTGTGCTGTGGAGTTGCATTGCATCGCAGGTTTAAGCTTGCACGTTTTCAGGTGCCAAGAAGAGATCTTGCGTGACATTGTGACCCTGGTTCCTTGAAAGCTGTGTCCCAAAGCATCAGACATGTCAGAGTCATTGCAGAAGGAATCTGACCCTGAGATCTCATGACTTGTTTCTGCGTTGTTGCTTGGTGGCTTGGTTGCTTTGCATGTTTTTTGTTGGTCGAGCTGTCTCTTTGATGGACTTGGAGCTACACGTACTGGGTTCAGACAACCACACACAGCCTTTTTCGACATCGACATGACAGAAGGAGAACAAAAATGACATCTGGAAATGCACAGCAGCAAGGTTGCAGACCACCACACCATGTTGGCGGCTGAAATTTGGAGAAGGGTACATGCATTATGGCACTTTAAGGAGTGGAGAGATGTTGATTCTGACAGATTCATGGCTTGGCGGACATTTCCCGCTACCTTTTCAACAAGCTGGCGGCAGTGGATGAAACTTCGCAGAGACAGCTCGAGAACAGGAAAGACAAGAACATGAACATGGTCATGGTGAGCAAGATGAAAGTATCCAAGAAGAGACTAGTCTTGACACAGTTTGGACAAAGAGAGAGGTGTGACATCTTCACTCGACGTGGACAAAGTGGTCAAGAAGAAGAAGAAGAAGAAAAAAAAATACAAATAACAAAAACAATAAAACATGAAAACATATTATCCAAAAATCGTAATAATTAAAAAAATAAGAAGACGAAGACGCAGACGAAGACGAAGACGAAGACGAAGAGGAAGAGGAAGAGGAAGACGAAGACGAAGAGGAAGAGGAAGAGGAAGCAGAGGAAGAGGAAGAGGAAGAAGAAGAAGAAGAAGAGGAAGACGAAGACGAAGAAGAAGAAGAAGAAGAGGAAGAAGAAGAAGAAGAAGAAGCAAAATAAACATAATAAGAAGAAAACATGACAAAAATCAGAAGACAAATAGTAAAACAAACACAAAAAATGCTAGAGGGACCAAGGAGAAGATTGATGTGGACAGGGAACCTGTCTTGAGCATGTCCGATCTTTGCATAGACAGCTTTGCACATTTCGGCCCAAATTGTAGAGTTCACATAGCGTGGTTGTTTTGCAGGATCCGGTTTTGATGTTTTTGGTTTCAATCAAAATTGTTCCCACCAAGAACAATCGATATTCCAGTGGTTTAGTTTAGTTTCTCAAAATATTTCATCCAATCATGGCGAACGCTGCCCAGATGGCGCAGCTTGCGCAGTTGCTGACACAAACAGTGGCTGGCAACATGGAGGCCGAAAAAATAGACACAATGTGTTGATCGTGGTTGAAACGGTGTCTCTTTCTGACTGAAACTCGAGTTTTTGGGCAATTTTTGATATCTGCACGGGATGATGTTTGTGCACAAAGAAACATTCTCTAGCAAATGAAAGGTCAAACCAAAGGAGCTTTGAGACTTTGCGAGGTCGAGCGTTGGAACCAATCCTTGTAGCCCTGTGGTGGTGGGAGCACTTGTGAGATCCCCCAAACCTGGTCCAGATGACGTTCATCGGATCCAAGGGAATCGGGGAGGGGCGACAAGCGTATGTTTTCAGAACTAATTACTCTGTCTGAGGCCATGAGGTCGGCTGAACAACAGCTTAGAGCTGCAGAAGTGCAGCCAGGGCGGCTTGGCCAAGCCATTGATCAGTAAGATTCACAAGTCTCTCAGTTTCTCTTTTTCATCGTGCTGCATGCTGGTATATAGTGGGGCACGCATTTGTCGGATAAGTCAGCAAATATTATTTTATTGTTCTTGCCAAGGTTTGGCCTTGTTTTGCTCGAACTCTTGCGCTCGGGCAGTGTAGACACTTCTGCAAGGCCATGTTTCGAAAGAGAGCGTCTGGAGAACATGGAATTTCGCAAAACATTTATGTCCATTCCATGTCATTTCGAGGCAAGCTGGAGCAATCTACTTCAAAAACTACATTAAGCGCCAGTGGTCTTGAACTGAGCGATCCAATTTTCTGCAACCTTTGGAACAGTGGTTATACAAGGCAAACACAGTTTGTTTGCCAACATTGCCGCACATTGCCTGTCCAGTTCGAACAGGTGTGTGGAAGGTGCTGGTGGCGGTATCTCATCCTCTGATCGACAGGCTCCTTTGTGTGCCGGCTTGCAGTCGTTCGCGCTAGCTATATAATGTGGCAGGTTTGTTTTCCAATCTGCTTGAGCAGCGCTGCAGCAGAAGCTTGTGCTTGTCGAGGCCATCAAGCAGCACATCCTTTCTTTAATGCTGCAGGCGCCAAAACAGGTGCAGGTACTATGCTCAGCTGCGAAGCCCTGGCTTGACCATGTCTTTCTCCAAGCCCTCCTAGGTACAGCTCTCAGCTGGACTAGAGGAGATTTCGATCACCGACTACCCAGCTGCTCGAGCCCCGCAAAGTTTGCCAATGAATTTTGCTTGCAGTCTTCGGTGTTGTAAGGAGTGGCAGTCACTGCTGCCAGAGATGGTTCAGCACCTCAAAACCTCCCAGGCCAAAAGCCAAAGCTTTCAGAGATGGTTTGTGCTTTCATGTTTGCCATGTGGAAGACAGTCAAATATCCAACTCATTGCGTTGTAATCATGCTGCCTCTGACTGACAAGGACATGTCCATCTTGAAGGGAACCATGCAGACTGCACATACAGTCTTTCTGAAGCTCGGTCCTGAGTAAGACCGGTGTCTCTCCGCGACACTCTTGTCTTGCACATCCAGAACAATCTTTGGAACAGAGACATCTTTGATTCTTTGCCGTTCTTTAAATAATGCCTTAGAGACTGTTCTTTTCACGCCACTCCGTATTCCCGTCTCAGGTTCCGAGCCCAGGCGCGATCGGAAGATCTGCTCCGAGAGGTGAAGTGCGCCCTTCAGCCGAACCGCCTGGCCGAACCGCCCGACCCGCGTTGCGCCCTGGCGCTTTGGCGCTTGGAAGATCTGTGTCAAGGTACACCGTGACTGGGTTTCAAGAGACCCACCTAGCGGTCTTTACTGTCTGGTGCCGAGCAGGCCATGTCGAAGGTCTGATGTCTTCATGACTCACTCCCCAGGCCACGTGCACGCGGGTCTTGGGCGGGCTGCCGGCGGATCAGCCGGGCGCACAGGGCTCCACGCGGTTTGGGCCGAAGCCAAAGCCTTCGACGTAAGGTTAGTGACTCATTTTGAGCTCCTCTTGGCAACCATAGGACTTCGATTTGACTGCGCTGCTGATGGTATACCGTAGACTGTACACATTCTCATTCTTGAAGCTCTAGTTGTTCATTCGGGAGACTCGAAGCTTGAAATCATTGATCTTGATGCGTGCTCGAGCCTGCACCAGGAGCGTTCTTTTCTCTGAATGTGATCGACTTACCAGAGTTTTTTGAGGATCACAGAGAGGACAGGTTGTTGTGAGGTGAATGGTTTGAGTGGTTTGAGTGATCAAAGGAGAGCAACTTGCTTGAGCCGGATGTAGCCGGTCTGCATTCGGGTAAAGCCATCTGAGCCTTGCAGGAATACTTCAGAGGTTTTCTAGAGTTGCTAAAGTTCCAGCACGAGGAGCCGCTGATTGCGTAGAGTCAGCGATTTTGGTTTCCTTTTGCATGGGTCCCAAGATTTTTTTGTTTTTCGAGTGTTGAGTGTTGCCATTAAGTGCACTATAGCTCGGAGAGGGACTCACAGCTCCCATCCATCCAAAAACTCAAACAACTCTTCGGTGTCACTCGAGCACTCTTGTAGTGCTACTCGGTACAGGCTGTAGCTGGGCAAGGTCAGCAGGGGCTGCTCGAACAGGTGCGCATGGTTTCGCCCATGGCTGCCATGACTTCATGACTTCTATGGGCTGAGCGAGCCGTTTGACTGAGGTCAAAGGTGCCATTTGCGAGTGCTTTGTGCTGTACGCAGATGCATGGCCTAAAAGCTGCAAGCTGCTTCGATGTTCTTTCATTGATCGTGTGTATTTAGAAATGCGGACAGTGCAAGAGTTTTCGTTCTGAGACAAAGCTTGAGAAGCGACATGGCAACATTCATTCACCAATTCCCAGCTCTATAAGGAGAAGTATCAGGAAGAGTCTGCACCTTACAGCCTTAAACTACGGTCCTCCAAATCAGACGGAATTTCCTACCTGACCGCACAGCCAGGTTCATGCCTTTCCTACTTCCCTGTGTGAAGGAGGTCGGTTGCAGCGAGTTTTCCACAGATTGACCAACGGTCGGCGCCGACTTGTCGGTTTCCAACGGTCGAGGTTTGGACGCTGCTCGTTGGCCTGGATCAGCAGGAGAAATCACGAGAGATCGGATTGGGATCCGATGTTGGTCAACTCAACATGTTGATCCACACGTTCATGGTTTCCAATCTCACCTGGGGTATGTGCTTGTAGTATACAGTGCAGCTCTGAGAGATGTACGCAGCCACTTGTGATGATTTCCAGGAGAAAAATGATCAGCTGGTTGCCAAAGGCATTCACTTCTTATCGCAGGAAGACCCAGAGAGCTTCTGCAGAGACTTCAGTGTAGAGGCAGAACAGGTTCCCATTGCAATCTCCACACGCTCTGAGCCAACCACCGCCACTCATGAGGTCCACTGCCGCCACTCAGTGGCCACAGTCACCCTTCGAGGTCCTAGATCATGCCAGATCTAAAAGCAGGTTGACATTTCAACTTACATGAGTCAGATCATCAGATCTAAGTTCTGAAATCCACGGTAAACTCACAAGCTGATAGACATTTCCGTTCGCTTGGGCCGCTTGTTCAGAGAAATCTTTCCTGCACCATATTCCCCCGCACAGGATCCCAACGTCTTGTCGGGCATTTGCGAGAAGGCGTCATCGAAGTTGTACTGCTGAATATGTGGTGCCAGGATATGTGAGTTGGGTGTTAGGATGCCAGTGAGTTAGATGTAGCTCCAAACCCAGGCGCTTTCGGATGGAGAGAGCGCAACGTGCTTCTCCGGTCCATCACGCTGCTCCAGTGCTCTGCTTTGCTCCAGCGCTGCAGGTGGTTTTCCCCAATGTCCTGCTGCGGGACTCGGATGTGGAGCTGTTTGAGGAAAATCCGCTCGAGTGCGCTGAAGAGCTGGTCAGGTGAGTGCGAGTGGCTCATGAGAGGGACGGACAAAGGGGTCATTTTGGGTTTGAACAATCAAGGTTCTCTGAAAAGGCTTTGCTTCAAAGACGAAATCGTTGAGACATGTCTGGCGATTGATGCAAGGTACGTGCGGCGCGACATGGAAGCAGCTGACCAGGAGCTGACCGCTGGAGTGATGCAGTGCAGCTGACCGCTGTGAGTGGGTCTGTTGTCTCAGGAGACGCGTCGGCGAAGCTCAATGGACTTGGTCAAGGTGGTTGCGGCGCAACTGAAAGACACTGAAAGACACTGAAAGACTGTGTGACTCAACGCCTGCACCGAACGATCAACGGCTCGGTCACCCACGGAAGAAGTACCACACGTTTCTGAGATCACCAGGGGGTCTTCCCTCAGACATTCTTGATCGTTCCAAGCGATGCCATGGAAAAAGTAACACAGTAGAGACGTTTGCGGCAGGCCATGGGAAAGGTGAATGAAGCCAAGGCAATGCTGATTTGTTTGCTTGGGCTTATCGAGTTCTTTAACTAATTTACATGGTGCATCGTATGTCTGACTCGTGAGAAGCCACCACACTGTTGCGGTGGTCGGAGTGCTGAGTGGTAGACAGTCACGTCGCCTTGTAAAGGTCACAGAGATCCTCATCGGATACGTGAAGGCCTTGATGGAGAAGGCATCACAAGCTGCTGCTGGACAGGCAGAGCGCTACAAGGACCGCCCACGAGTCGCCACAAATGGTCCGCACGAGTCGCGGGCCGCTGGTCGCGGGTGCAAAAGCGATGTCCACAAGGGAGCAAGCGTAGACGGATGAGTTTCTCCAAAACGAAGCGCAGGGGATGAGTTCCACTTCATTACCTACGGATGAATTAGCAATCCTCTAGGCTGTCAGGAACACAGGAGTTTTCCATAGTCTTGTGGGACTCACTTGTTTTTGTAGTGGAAGAGAGCCTAGCTTCGATATTTGCGATGGACTCTGAGCCCAAAAGCTACCCAGAGACTGAGAGATTCTACCGGACGGTTAAAGCACATGTACTCCCTTGACTCTATTTACTCATTACTTGTTTTGTCAGTTGTGCAGAGACATGTTTGCCTCCCTTTCACAGCGTACTGTGCCAGGATGCCTGCATTTTTCTCTGCATTGCCATGGCAGTGCGGGAGCAGACCCACCGAGAGGGTACGCCACAGCTTCATTTAGCTTTATTCAACTAGCTTCTGGTTTTGTGAAACAGATGAACCCATTTCTTATGACACTGATGCTTCGGAAGGAGTCACTGCCACAAACCAGAATGTCAACGTGTCTCTTGGCTGAAGATATATCCGAAACAAGATCCCTGTTGACGGAAAAGAATGCGTCGATCTCTTGTGCCTGGCAGCGGCATTCTGGAGGCAAAGCATTTTACGAATGATAATTGAGGTGTTTGGTCTTTTAACCAACTGAGGCTGGATTTCTTTAGTTCGCTGGTGGTTCCAGAGCTCACTTCTGAACCTCTGGTGGGCTCGCCTGCTTGCTAGAATTATGAAAAGAACAGATACCTGTGGTTCCTTCAGGGATGTCTCGAAGTGATGTCTTCCTTTGCCAACTCTTGTCTTGGCGAGGAGCCAATTCTTGCTTGCTTGCTCCATCTCCAAATACCACAGCATCAGCATACGTTTTTCCTTTCTTTTAAACGTGGCCTACCACAATACCATGCTTTCGTCGGGCAGAACCGATTTGGAGACTCTCCAATTGGGATGTGAACGTGCGTATCTTGCGCAAAAAACGCACACATGTTCCGTGCTTTTCGTTGTCACGCCAGGCACAACGTCCGGTGCTTCGAGCCTCATGTCTGAAGTGCCTCGGATTGGACATCGATCCGATGATGGGGAAAGGGGGATCCACTCAGCACTTTGGCTTTGGATGCGACAAAAGCACCCAAAGCCAAAGCAAGTGGGACAATTCATAGATGACACATCTGCGACCCGGACTTGCTATGATTGATATGCAGCGAAAAGAGGGACGATCAACAAGTCTTGGTCGCACACCCCACAACTTGGTCGGCCGGCCAAGTGAAAGTGCCATTTTTCTCGTGACATCCTAAGGTTCGTGACCGTGTTCAGGAACCAGCTTCCTAGAGAACAAATCAGCTGGTGGCCCAAGCTCGATGAATCCTTCAAACACTTTGAAGCTGGTGGCCTCAGACATATTTTAATCGAACTCTGAAGGCCAGCTTCTTCCTGCAATCTGTGTGGCACTTATTGTGTAAATACTTCTGTATTGAAGGTTCTGCAGGACTGTAGAAAATGCTTGGCTCGCAGAGTGGGCCAGTTGGGGTTGAAGACTTGTGGCCAGGCAAACACATCACTGCAGAAAGTGCAGTGGCATCGCTCCTAGTTGGACAATACCACAGATGCAACCGATTTTGTACAACTTGGCAAAATGCTTAATGCTTCTCCTGCGAATCCATTTGGCAACCGGTGAAAAGAGGGATAATGCAAATGGCAGGTGCACACCTATGCTGCCATTTGCATCGAGAAGCTGCTCAGAGTGAAGGACAAGACCCCACAGGCCGACGAGTCCACAACACCCTGTACAGGTGTGTCGACTGGGGGAAGTGAACCCAGTGGAGGTGCTTCCACTGGTTGGAGGTGCTTCATTTGGTTTTACCAAGCAGTGGCTGACTAATGGACTTCTGGCTCAAGCTCAAGATGGTTTGCCTAGTTTGGATTCCAACGGGATGATTGGATCAAAGAAGAGATCGTTTTCACATGCTTCACACACTTTTGAGTGTGAGTGTGGAACCGTCAACTGCCAAGATGTGCCCGAGACTTGGATGTTTGAAAGAAACTTGACTTGGACCTTCACTGGCTTTAGCAAGAAGCTACTAGTAACAAAGGGCAGGCATCGCTACGAACGGAGGGAAATCGGACGCTATTAGTTACTAGTAGCTCCTGGCATCGCTACCAGTCGTAACAAGAAGCTACGAACGTGTTTGTTGACCAATTGCAAAACCATGAGGTTGCATCAGGGCCGAGGGCACCGATGTGCCAAATGCCAGAGGTCGGAATATGATGCTGACACACAACGCCCGTGCGAAGTGTCTTCAGGCTGCAGTTGTTTCACCAAAACCTGTCATTAATCATAACCACTGTATATGAACATTTGAAATAGACTATTCAGTTCATTTTGGTGTGGGCTTTGATCCGCAACGAAGTGCATGAGGTAGGTGCTTTCTGATCCCAAGGAAAGGCCCTGTTTGGGCTTTTGATCCGACGCTGAATCCGCCAGTGCCAAGTAAACACCCAAAGCAGGCACGGGCGGATGACAGATTTGTGTCGTAGATGTAGGGCTAGGCCGAAGCAGGTGCAGTGTTTAGGGTAGATTTGAGAGAGTTGTGGGCAGGTTGTCATTCTCATGCGGCATGGGGACAGAACTCCGGTACGAGAGCAGTTTGGACACTTGATGAATCAGTTATAGACAAAAAGACGTTGGTTCAAATCAATCATGTTCAGATTCTTGTCAAACACATACTTGCCTTTCAGAAGTGGATCTAGTCTAGTCTTCTTAACCCTCTTTTAGCTGAGGAGACTTGGATGTATCCCACCTGGCCTCTGTGTGGAGATCTCTTCTGCCCACGGAGCGAGAGCAAGCTGAGATGGATTCGGTGCGTGTGGAGCGAAACGAGGGCGAAGGCCACAATAACTATTCATCCTTCAACGGTGAAGGCACGGCATGTTTATTCGGCGCCGGCATGTGTGGGCATGACTTCGTGGCAGTGCTTCACGAAAATTGAAGCATCAGTGCATGTCTTGTCTCATGACTTGTCTGAAGACATCAGCCCATGTGCAGGTCCTTTGGGACAGCTCACCTCGTTGGGATATAGACAATGTCGTAGTGCTGGGGCGGAGTTGAGGCGCCGCTACCCTATGGCCAGCATCCGTGCCTTTAGTACTGCCACTCGATAGGGCACAGAGCAGCAATTCTTTTTTGTGGTTGAAAAGCCTTCCTGTCGATGGAAGCTGAATTTTGTTCATGGGAGAGTCGATTTTGGGATTCAGGCAACTACTTGTGTCTGCCTCAGTCACACTTGGGGGGCGGATGTTTAAGGTTGGTAGGAGGGTGGATGTTTAGGCCTTTCCAAAACCAACCAGTACAAACGAGCAGCGCAAGGACTTTCGCCGAACGATCCAAACAGCATCCTGTGTCTTGCGGGGCTTTGGATCAGAGGCTCCTGTGCAAGTCCCTGCACCGAGAAGTCAGACGTTGCTCCCAAACTACGATGGCACCTGCTGGCGCTATGCCAAGCTGAGAGCATCCCTTATTGAAGCTGCCAATGCAGGTGAGCTGAAACAGCTGCGAGAGAAGGTGGAGATGATGCTGATTCCCTTCATGGGCAAAGAACCCATGAATCACTGCAGCAATGGGCTTCAAAATCGATCGTCTGATTAATGTTTTCTAGCGTCACCTGGGTCTCCCCCCAGAAGCACTTGGGACCTGGGAGTGGTGGATGAATCGACTCAGTTCACGGATCCAAAAATTCCACCTGATGGGTGGGTCCTGAATCTCCATTTTGACCCATGTTGCTGAGGAGAGAAATCCAGGACTTCACGCCTTTTTGCGTTCACCGAGATGAAATCGGAGCGATCCCTGGTGTTGAGTGGGAGATGACCAAAGCAGTCGAGAACTACAAAGCAACATTGGAGGCATTGTCGAGAAATAAACAAACACTGATTGGTGAAAGGATGTGAAAGGATATTGGAGGATGGTCACGGGTTTACCAGCATCATCTTTCCGGGAAAACCAGACAGAATCCTGGAGATGATTGTTTAGGGCAACCTCAATGCTGCATGCGCTTCCAGGCTGCAGTCTATTCCAATGAAGAGCTGCTGCGCTTGGCAGCTGGACGGCTTGTCCAGGCCACGAGTTCTTGGAACAACGACCATGCTTCACTCGTTTAGCACATGGGCCACAAGAATCCTTTGCACATTTCTCTACCAACCAACCAGTAGTTGCAGACTGTTTCTACCAGATGAACTGGCCTTCCCTCATTTGCTTCTGTCTCTTCAATCGAGATCATGAGCAAGCCTTGAAAACTGAGGGTTCAGACGCAAGTTTCGGGTGAGGGGTGCGAACGGGGAATTCCGGGAGAGCCCTCACCAGCCCCAAACAGTGACCGTGTGAACAGACAAGCAACGCAGTGGGCCGATGGGAGATGCCCCCACGACTGCTTACCTGGCAAAGCTTTATTTTATCTTGTACACAGCCCCAAGAGGAAGTGATGGACTTCTTGTCAGAGCCTGGTCACCGCATCACACTCTTGGCAGCGCATGACAACATGATGACAGCGTTTTTGGTTGCTTTGGGTGTCTACAAGAACCAATGGCCGTTGTATGCGTCTATGGTTTTGCAACTCGACAGGATTTGCCTGCTAGTAGTAGAATGTGCTGTAAAACGCACTAGATTCTAGATCGAAAGTTGTGTGGACAATTAGCCAGCAACATGGCTTAGCCCAGGATAGAGACAGCTGAGATCGATGAAAAGCCACGGATTGTGCGGATCTTGATGAACGACGAGGCCAACATAGGGTAATTCTGGATGTGTTTTGCTTCGTTTGTTTGCGCACTGTTCCGGGTTATCATCACTATTGAGATATTCTTGCTTCTCCCTCGAGGTTTGCCTTGATTGGCAGCCTTTGGATGAGCTAAAAGCAAGGGTCGCAGCAGTGGTTCTGACTTCTGCAGCTTACGCCTCGATTTGTCAGCAGAGCTGCTGAATTGGTTTCCTGCGGTTCAGCCAGTTGGAGCGCTTGAGAAAAGTGGCGTGGCCGCTCCCGAGATTGATTGAGAAAAATGCTTTTTCGCTGATAAGACTCTGATAAGACTCCCGAGATCGTTAAACGACTCCAATTACTGTAGTTTTGAACACTTTCATACTCCTAAAGGGGGGTCAACGACAGGGACTTGTGCGACTTGTGCTCCCCCCCATCGTTGGCTCACACGACAGGAATGTAAATGCCCACAATGCCCACATCCTTGGATAAAGACTTGGTGAATGCAGTTCTTGAATCCAAGGGACCTCGCTTTCCCCGACTTCATGCACAATAGCCAATAGCCTTGAGCCCCTCAATCAGGTTGCAAGACAGCTGTATAGTTCATCGATCGTTTCAACCCAAGCAACCCAGTCTTGTAAAGGACGTGACCAAGACCTTTTCCACTGTAGCAAAGATACAACAGATTTTTGGACTTTGTTCTGTCCGCCCATCCGACCAGGGACAGGTGGCACCTCGCTACGATCCCATGTTGGGGGCTGATCTTGTGGTGGAGTGAGGATTTCAATGGTCAATATCTACAGGACACGGGAGTGAGGTTATCCTTTGGAGAAAGAGAGAGAGAGAGAGAGGGAGGGAGAGGGAGGGAGAGAGAGAGAGAGAGACAGAAATAAAGAAAGAAAGAAAGAACGGAAAAGAACAGAACAGACAAGAAAAGAACAGAAAAAAAAATAAAAGAACCGAACAGAACAGAAAATAAAAGGAAAGAAAAGAAAAGAAAGAAAGAAAGCAATAAAGGAAAGCAAGAAAGAAAGGAAAGAAAGGAAAGAACGGACAGAAAGGAAAGGAAAGGAACAGAACAGGAACAGGAACAGGAGCTGGAACAGAAAACAGAACAGAACAGAACAGAAAGAAAGAAAGAGCGAAAGAAAGAAAGAAAGACAGAAAAAAAAGAAAGACAGACAGAAAGAAAGAAAGACAGAACTTGAATTCTTCACATCACATCTTAAACATTGCCCTCTGCTCCACATGCGCGGAAACTCTTCTGCGGGAAAGATGGGAAAGGTGTGGAACTTTCAGTTTTGATGTGGCTCCTAGGTCCATGAAGGGGCCTTTACTTCAGATGGTGCAGCCCATTCTGCAAATCATTGCTGCGAGCAAGGCAGTGGATTTTGTGTGAAGAGGGGTTTGGAACAAGGCAGTTGATTCTGTACTTGGACTGTTTGCAAAGGAAGGTTTCAACACACCTAGCTGAAAGTCATCAAGTGGCGTGCTAGTTTGAGCACGCAAGCTTGGTAGCCGCAGATTGCAATGGTTGGGTTTTCACGCCACATTTTACTGCAGGGGATACCCATGAACGAGTATCTCATGAGGCCGCAGCATGTTACGGTTCGTGCAATTCAATGTCCAACTGCAATTTGCAATCGAGCATGAATCACTCATTTGTTGACAAACTTGGCCCTTGGCAGGACTGTGGCAAGAATATTTGCCTTCCTGAAGCAACAGGAGCGCCGAGTGTCTTTTGCAGTTTGCTGGCCGCGCATTCAACGGTGCTGTGTGAACCTGAACCAACACTGTACTTCCAGGGAGCAGAGACGGGTCTCGCAATGCCGCCACCTTAGCTTGAAAACTGAATACGTCATGTGAGCGACGGACAAAATTATTGGTTGACTTATTTAGTCACGGCATGACCCTAAACCTATGTTGAGGGCTTCGTTTCTGTGGAAAACGATATGGTCCCCACCAAAAACGATAATCTTGCTAAGACGTACTGTAGTGGGTACAAAGACGTTTGTGGTTACAATATGTTATTCATGTGCATGTTTATTTGAGCATATTTGAGCTAAACCGATGGGCACAACTTTTCACCAATGATAACCCCAGACAGCTTCCCAAACGATAATCCAAACGATAAGCAAACGATAACCTAAATGTCACGCCAGTCACTCCGTAGACCAACTTCTCCACATTACCAGTGACTAGTGTTTGTTCATGGGCCGAGCTACTAGGTTCCCGCTTATGTGTTGTGATCCTTGCACAGCCCAGTGCCACAAGAACCCAAGTGCATAAATCAAGTGCTGTGCCATTCCTGTGCAGAAAGCACTGCAAGCCTCTAAGACTCTAATCTCAGGTTGTGAGTTATATGTTGTGTTTTAGTCTATGTGCCGGTATGCTATGCTAACTGCGGTTTGGAGAAACATTGGAGAACGATATGGACCCCACCAAAAACGATAATCATGTCAAATGGTATTTGGCTACACAAGTAATTTTGTCCGCTGCTCATGTGCATCGAGTTCAACACCTGCAGGAAGAGATGCCTCAGCCCCTTCTGCCAATTCTGCCACTGAGGCTGGGGCCTCTCTCTGCCATCCTCATTGCTATGGCAGCAAACCCTTCAAATCCAGTTTTCAACCACAACCTCTTCGAGGTGCGGTGGGGGTCTATTTCTGACGAGTTACTCAGTTACTAGATCTTGCTATATAGTTTGGGTCTGTCTGAACTTCACCTGTCACAGGACCCGTAAACAATTATCACTATTTTTGAACAAGGATCCACTGTTACTGGTAATGGGATAGACCCAATATATAGTAGTAGCTGGTGGAAGATGCAATCAACATGACATTGATACCCAGTTTGTGGATCATTTACTCATATTGGGCATACAATAATATAGCAACAATGATTTCAGACTGGATCTTGGACATTTTGGCAGAGACCCGATTCGGTCACCCGAACTCCCGAAGCCACGAGGCAGTGGCTTCGATCGTCAAGGTTTGCGTGCCCACGCAACCCGACACGGTCCGGGAGCCCGTTTTCGACAGGCTTTTGCTTTGCAACCGTTTTGGATTTGGACTGCAGGTGAAGCACAGATATGATTCTATCTGAAGACTTGGTCCCTTTTTCAAGGCAAACACAGATCAACGGCTGGGCGTGCCAATGAGCTAAATTTGCCTGGGGAGTCTTTCTCAAGGTCAATGAGTTTTGATCCACAATGAGCTGTGCCTCCTTAGGTCTTTTACTTTCTCCCCAGATCAACTGTCGAGCTGATTCCTTTAAGAAGACACGTGCAGTGTCATTCTCGAACCTTGTGGCATAAAATTTTCCACATATCATTTGGATGGCAGAGGTTGAGAGCGCCCTGCTGCCTGTCTTTGGGCAGATCTTAGCGAGGGCCTCGGTTCTCGCCATGCAAAGTTCTGCTATGCCGCACCTCTACGTGCGACGTGCTATTTCGAGTCAAGGCGCATGTGGTTTCAATGTGAGCTTGCATGGCCGAACAACCTTAATCTTGTTTGGTCTTGGAGTTTTGCAGGGATTTCCGGCCAAAGTCAGTTTTCGTGGAAAGTCCGACATGTCTTTTCCTCCACAGCGTGAGCTTGCCAAACTACCGAGCTTGGCGGCCTGGCTGGCTGGTGAACTCTGTGCTGTCTAAGGAGAGAAATGTGGTGGACTTTTTGCCGTGCCCACGAAGAAGTTGTGACAAACGAAGACCGGAAATCCGAATGGATCTGATGTTTCAATCAGTAAATCTTGCATCTGGTATGATACCAGGTACACGTTTCAGATAATGGGTCTCCTGCTTGATGTCCAAGTCTCAGGCTTTGAGGAGTTTGTACTTCACCAGATTTGCCACAAATGGAATGCGGATCCTAAGGCTTCTCCGAATGTGAAGCCGCTGTACACAGAGCTTTTTGCCAGGTGCTGGGAATGGGAGATGTCTGACATCTCTGAAGGGGTTCAGCAGCATGGGATGCTGCTATCAAAGAAGCAGTGAACTTCAATGTGCTCAGCTGATGGAGATAGATCGTGATGACAGGCATATCTATACATCATATCTATACATAGTTAGTCACTGAATGTGGGGTCAAAGCGAGATGCCCAGAATGAATTTCAGTTGCCTTGGTAGAGAATCCTGGATCGCTGTTCAATTCTTCCTTGTGGCTCAATGCCGGTGGATGCAGGTTTGTAGAGCCCCCAACCGGCCGTTTTGTGTTGACGCCAGGCTGTTGACCCCTGAGCTTTGGCGAGCTCAGGCTCGGTGCGTCCAAAACGCCGAAGCCCGTGGTGGTTCGCCCGTGGGGAGGTCTAGTTGTTTGAACTTCTTGTTACTAGTGGCGTCCTTGCTCCTAGTAGTACGGCCAGGAGCCCCGTTCGTAGCGTCCTTGCTCCTAGTAGCGATGCCAGGAGCCCCTAGTAGCTTCTTGTTACTAGTCGCTATTTGCTCCTAGTAGTAATGCCCTTGTTACTAGTAGCGATGCCCTTGTTCCTAGGGAAGAAAACAAATTGAATGGTTTCAACTCAGCTCTTTACGCCGTGGACGACTTGAGGCAAATGTGCCAGGACTGATTCGACTTCTGCGTCTCAAGCTCAGAAGTGTCCAAGACAAGTCCACTGGGCCACTTTGGAGTGTCCTTTTGCTCCAAGTCCAGAGTCAAGGGATATTCCCGGATCAAAAAGCAATTCGCTCAACCGTTGTTTGATTTTTGTGGTGTGTTGTTTGACGTGCTCGGTCATCTTTTCCGACCCTAAGGTGCTTACTTCACCAAGCATGCAGGGTTTGGAGAGCTGCTGAGGTCGAACATGCAGGCAGATATCGAGGGGAATATGCTGGGGTCGACGAACGATGGGATGAGTTTTCGTGTTCAAAGAGAGAGGAATGATGTCTACCACCAGAAATGGTAGTCTCTATTAGGTTGGAGGCCATCGCACAGGTGAGGAAGCGGACGTAGGTTGGAGGCCATCGCTATTATATAGGTTGGAGGCCAATTGCTCTTAGGTTGCACTAGTGAAATGACAATCTAAGCCGCGCGGAAAGCTCTCCAAGCTCTCGGCACTTCTTCTCCAAGGGGTTCAAGCCGTCACTGCAGGCGATTCTCGAGCGATTCCAATTCGTGCTGATGAATCGGAAGACCGAGGCAGTGGGAAGTCCGTTGTGTTGAAGGAAGACATCCTGCATGGGATGGCAAATTTATGTGAAATTGATGTGAATACACAACTTTTTACACCATTTTGTACAGTGGTTTGAGGGTTCTAAGGACAGAGAGTTGCATTGGTAGCAGTGCGACCTGGATGTAGACGGTCCAGTTCTCTTTGCTTTGGGGCTTGGCCGCTCAATATCGCGACAGGAAGCGGCACTGGATTTGCTCAAGTCCGAGTGAATGCAGAACTGTTGGCGAAAACGACACGCATTGAGTGCTCTGCAACGGGCGAAACGATGTTGGCTGATGCTTGCTCTGAGGCTGAACGCCATGTACCAGTATTTGCCCATCGAATTTTATCAGCAGTTTCTCAAGACACTCATGACAGTTTTGTGCTGACCTTGGTTGTCGGGGGCACACCTTGAGCCCAACCTGGAGCTTCGTCATCCATGAGACGCGCAAGACCTACAGTAGGTCTATTCTAAGCAACCTGAAAACCTTGCATTCGATGGGTCTTTGCATATTTTTCTTTTTCAGATTCAGCATGTTTGTAATTTTGTGTCACCATCCAAGTTGATATCATCAAACGACCGGTGTTGTCGCCCAGGTTGACTAGACTGCAAAGCAGCAAGTCACCGAAGTTCAAGCGGGACTTTGTGGTCTCGTGCTCGTTGGAGGCTTTGAGCATTGCCTTTGAATGAGACAGATGACGCAAGTCGCGACTCTCATAAAAGTGATGATTTGGGGATGATTCATTGATGATCCTACCATCCTACCTGAATTCATTAGATGAGCTGCTCTTCTTGAGATTGACTGCAAGAAGCCCTTCCTCGAGACTCTGTTTTCTTGAAACTGTGCTTGAACTGAGGCTTTGCATACATAAGAATCAGTCAGTGATAGCACTGTTCGACTCTATACAGGCTGGGTGAGAGCAAGACTTGAGAGTTGATGGACGTAGATGGGTGTTCTCGAAATGCTTGTGGGGGGAAGCACCAAGAGCTTAAGGGCACAGAACATTTGGGCATCGATGGATCTCTTTGTCTCATATTTTCTCTCCTTTTTACATAAAACTCTTTGCTTTTGGAGAGTCCTTCCAGGCTGGCCTGTTGAGTAACTTGCTTCTCAACGTGTGGCCACCTGTGCTGAAGATGCCTTTGCGAACGGACGAGCGGAAGGCCTTCTTTTTTTTGCTGGTTCTGAATTTTTACAGATATATACATCTACTCCGCCTTCATGTCTTGATTTATGCTTAGGAGCCACTTCCCTTTGCCGGAATCCGTGTTTCGTGGCCGACTTTCTGTTTAGCGATCCCATGGAGCCCATGGAGTCGCTGTTGAAGAAACCCCACACCTTCGGTGCCGGCACGTCGTCTTCGGTGCCGGAGACGCTCGAGCTCCAAGCGTGAGAGGTTTGCGTGATGGCCCTGGCCAAGCTGTTTTCAGTTGAAGAATTGAGACAGCCACGTCCCCAGTAGTCGAGCAAACATTTGCAGGGTGCCATTTGGATCTCAAAATATGTTGGATGTTGGTGGCGGCTTTGATTCGATGTTAGTGACTCCAAGTTTAGGACAGTCGACTCTGCGAGATTTCAAGCAGGATCACTGGTGCCCTTCTTTTTGAAAGTCATGGCCATGGCAATGGAGAAGCCTTCGCATCTGAGGAACACGCAGCTAGTTGGTGCTTGCTCACTTAGTCTTGTCCATTTGTGCGACTCCAAGTCCGTGGAGAGGGGGATTTGTAAGTTTAAACATTCTAAAGTGGAAAGTGAATGAAGGCAGCAGATTGCCAGACTGCCTCTTCTCCATTCTACTGGGTGGGAGTAAATCCAAGCAACCTTTCCGGAAGGCCTGCCATTTGATAGATTGATGGATTGCCAGTTCTGACTCATGCTCCTATTGCAGAGACAACGGTTCTCAAAGCATACACCATCATTTTCTCAGCCAGTTTCTGAGGCTTGGTTTGGCTTCTTGCTGCAAGTCGAAGCAGAACCTGAACGGCGACGAGGGTGCAGTCTCCCAGAAAGGAACCGAGTGGCCGCAGTGAGTGACTCATGGAGGGGGCGTGTCCAACCGTGTCCTCCAGGCTTCTTCCCCGTGTCGAAAACGGACATAACACAGATCGGATGCCCAAAGGCTTCCGGAGGATGAAAGGCGGATGTCGTGGTCCCTTCCGCCCTCCCCTTGACTCGCTGGGCTGAGGTTCCGACGAAGAGCTCGAGAACGGGGCGGGGCAGGAGCCGGAAGCTCAGCAGTTGCTTTGCTCCTCGAACTGGGTTCGTTCGGTGAATGGTCAAAAGCTGGTGGAGAGCACGTCTCAGCTTGTGGAGGACGCGAGGACTCGCCCTCGGGTTCTAGCGGCCGCAAGCTGAGGTATGAAGTGAGCTTTAACAAGCTCCAGAATACTGATCTGCCTGGTGCAGCTGCTGGAATGGCGCCAGATGTTCCTGCGCTGCAGCACATTGAAAAAGATCTCTTTTTCTGTGGCTTGCCGTGCTCCGTTCACATCAATGATAGGGTTCCCCGATTCATTCCTGATGGGGCTTTTTCCCATGTTCGGCTCAACATTTGTGTACCATCCAATCCCACCCCCGCTGCCACATGTGCTCTGTCCGAGACACCTCGACCACTCGCCCCAACGCACCAAACGCGCCAACGCACGTCCATCGTCCCCATCTCTTCGCTTCGGTGCGTCCGGCCGAAGCGTCGGACTTGCTGTGCGCCGCCCGAGGTGCCGGACTTGCTTTGCGCGGCCAAGGCTTCGCTGAAGCCGGTGCTGGGCCCCGTGGCGTGGCCGCAGAAAAAAGGATCGGCCGGTGTCCTTTGGTTGGTTTGGTTGAGAGTGGGGACCAGCAGGACTTAGGAGTTTGGCACCCTGGTGGTTCGTCCAATCAGCTTGGGGTGCTGTAGACTTTAAAACTTTTCCTGGTCAAGCTAAGGTTGTCCTGCCGCTGGCACAAGCCACCGCAGAGTTGCAGTCATGCCCTCAGAGAACTTGAGGGCGGTTCCCTTTGCAGCAGAATCCACTTGTGGCCGTGCAGATTTTACTTGTTTTTGCTTTTGGTTGGAATGTAGCATCAAGTCTTGGACAGAGTTCGACATGAACGTACAGCCTGATTCTGTCATTCCCCGCTCTTGTCAAGGCCTTTGGCGGCTTTTCTACAATAGGCAGCACATCCATGTTTCTCTTAGCTAGGCTCTCTGGACGTCTAATCGCCTGTGAAGCAAACGTTGAAGGGCCTTCAATCCACGCTGTTTCTAGAGATCCCCGCTATTGATTGGGCAGATCACATGTCCAGTGAGACGGGGTACTTGCTTCATCTTGCCGTTCTATGCTTGGAAATATGGTGGTGCCAATCCAAAGTGAAGCGCCTTGACTCGGTCGTGTTGAGCAAACATTGAGCAATCTACGCAAGTACCCCATGGTCCAGTGAAACACCTTCCTGGACCACAGAAAGCCACCTGTGAATAGGTGGGAGGCGGCAAGAAGCCCCAATTCATGCCTATTTTTGGGCCGATGGCGAGCATCCCCGTGCACCGAGTGTGGTAGCCATCCGAGAAAGAAAGGCTCCGACCCGGGTCGGACGGAGGCGGAGGGAGAGAGAGAGAGAGTGTGTCGCGTTTCGGGCCGACCATTCAAAGTGTGTTTTTTTTTTGCCAGTTTTCGCGTGAATGGAGAGAAAGCATTTGGTGGAGCAGTGGAGGAAAAGATGTAGTCCAATGAGTCCAATGCTCTCACTTTGCTGTTTTTTCCTGTTTCTCCCCTGGCGGCTCAAAGGACTTTAGTTGGTGAACGGTTGCAGATGGCATATTGAACAGTCCTTTCCAGGTTAGCCAGCCTAATCTTAGCACCACGTCAAGTTTCAACACAGCGCATGCCTTTTCAGAGCCTTTTCTGTCTTAGTAAGTACATGGGAGGCCGTTGCTGAAGCTGTTGCGAGCATCCCATGCCTCACCATATATTGATGTTCCTGTGCCTTGGTGCGATTTGGCGCAGCACGGCGCGATGCCATACGCGATGACATACTGGAAGACAAGCTAAGTCTCGTCACCCAGGCCTCCCACTTCCACTTGTCAAATGGGTTTCTCAACCCTCTATGTAAACACCCGCCCCCATGTTTTGCTCATCCTTGGAGGACGTTGTGCATCAGAAAGATCTTGTTAGACTAGGGTTGAAACCATGGACCTGAGGCAATGCGGCTGCTTCGGTGCACGCCTCAGATGGAGAAAAGGCGCATGGCACTGGATCTCAAAAGACGCGAGGAAAGGAGACATGTAGCACATCCCTTCAGTATGAACAGCCATGAACAATCGTGAACACTGATAAGATCACGCATATCACTCAACAACTCCATTTCACCATCAGACCAGCGGATTTCACCCGGAGTCACCAGAAGCACCGGTGCTCCCACCGTCTGAGGATTTTCGAAGCCGCGGAAGAGCTGGAAGGCTCAGGCCAGGACCAGGAGCAAAAACTTGACGGAGCAGATGTTGGAGCATGCGACTTGGCAAACAGGCAGCATCGGCGCCCAATTCGCGAATAAAAGGGTGAACAGTGAAGATCTGAAATCGTTTCTATGAGCGTGTCAAGCTAGGATGGAACAAGAACAACAGCTGAGCGTTGCATGCCTTTTTTATTGGCTTTAAGGACTGGTTTGTTTCCTGATCGTTCTCTGACGCGTTTGATTCAAGGGTTTCCAAGTTCCCTTGCATTTGATCCAGAAATCGTTTTGGATTGAGACCCCACAAGTGCTCGCACAAGACGAGTGTACAAAGAACAAGAGCAGCTGGCTGCGTCTTCGCAGACTGGCTGAGTCTTCAAATGTTCCAGTTTTGGAGTTCCAAGAGTTTTGTTCAAATGCAAGTTTTTCGATGAATATCCGTCTCTTTTTATGCGTGTTTTTGTGCTTCTTTTGAGGGTTGAGTTTCAGGTTTGCTTGGACAGACCTCTTGGTATGAAACAAGAAGAGCCCAAGAGCCCAGGTCATCGACGCCGCAGCGGGAGCCGTGCAAAGCTGGAACCCAGATGAGCCACTTTGCTCGCAAGGATGGCCCAAACAGGCAGACGTGTCGTGTGTCGTGATGCGAATTTCCTGGATCTGTCAGATGTCATGGACATTTGCTGCTCTCCTGTTGAAAAAATGAACGATTTGAAACGAGGGCCTCTTGGTGGGACATGTCGGAGCGCGAGGGTTTTCCTCGTCGACGTCTGTTTGCTTTCATCGCCAAGGTGGAAGATGGTGCGTTCCCTGCAGGAAGAACCACCGTCCGACTCGTTGGACCCGTCTCTTTCGGGTTCGTGCCGTTCGACGTACGTCACGTGGGTTCGGTGCGGTCTCCGGATCGGATCAGGAGGCGAATCAATCACGGGCATGTGTCGACTCGGTGCAGCACCTGGCAGACAGCCGGGCCATGGCTGTGAAAAGGATGCCGAACAGGTGCGAATGGGAGCGTAGTGGGAGCGTAGTTTGAATTTGGAGCAGTTGCAGTGAATCCCACAGGAACGGGGTGGCATGCCTCAAAAGAAGGGTCCCTGCCAAAGTTTGTGTGGGGAAAGCATATGATCCAGATTGGGAAGACATGCAAAGGTCAATCCGGAAGATGTCGAGTGGACTCGACTCTGCGAGTAGTTTTGCAGATCTGTGTGTAGTATCGCAGAAGGTTTTGCAGATCCACATGAGGTGCTTCCGCGGCATATCTTAAAGACTTTGCAATCGCAGTCGTCCTGATGTTGTCGCATTGTCACTACCTATTTGGCTGCTGTGTTGCTGCAGTGTCTTGAGCGGAGTGGAATTGCGGTGTTCAAAGTTGACTGCTTCGAGGTGGATCAAAGAGCGACAGTCTGAGTGTCCGGCTAAGCTTCTCCGACTGGAGAGGTTCGACAGCGGTCGGCCGTCTTAGTGAGGTTCGAGGAGAGTCATCCTCAATCATCGGAGAAGCCCTGGGTTGAAATCGGGCTTCTACGTTACCTCAATGCAGCTGGGCAGGGGCCCTAGCTTGGTAAGGCAAGATAGATTCTGGATGATTCTGGCACCGCACCGCTCATGACTCTTGCAAGTGATTTGTAAGTTTGGAGCTGGGTGATATTATTCACTTCAATGCTTGATTGTAGGTCTTAGAAATAGTATGAACTATAATATGACATATATCATATCAAATAGTTTTCGAGAAAGGAGCAACTGGGGGGATTAAGCTATATAGCACAGATGCCTTTTCATGCCTGGCTACCAACACATGAGGTTTCCATATGTCTGCGACTTGTTTGGCATCTTCCGTGACGACGAGTTCACCTATGTGGCGACGTCGTGGCTCGGGTTGATACTAACCCATTTTCGTGAACATGATGGACTATCTATTGTAGGCTCTTGATTTCGTAACCCCCCTGTTTGACTTGGACATCCTCTTCATATGGGATGCATTTTTCTCAAGACTCTACATTAGTAATGGTCTCGGACGACTGAGCCTCTTGTTGTCTCAACCAAAGTCCACCGAGCCAGGCTGGCCACCGACGGGGACCTTTTCAGTTTCGTGGAGCGGTTGCAGATGGAACCTGGTCCAGAACGAGAGGGCAGCTTGGCCAAGAGCGACCATAGCACGCTTTTAAACCCAAGGCGGCGTGCTCACATGTTCTTTTTCCTGGGATTTTAGGTATTATCCGGCCAATGATGGATCAGGTGTGTCTTGGCTTGAAGAATTGGTATCAACTTTGTTGCGTGACTTTTGTCCGAGCCTTCCTTTCGGGTCTGTCCAGTGTCATTTTTCTCTATTTTGCGGATTGAGAAAGAATGATCTCAGAGTAGGACTGAGATTTGAGGTTTTCCGCCGTGTATAAACTGCATGAGCTCGGGATTGCACACCGCGATATTTCACTAGAGCCTTGGCAGAGGTTTTTTCCATTGGTTCTGACTCCATTGGGAACGTGAGGTCCCTGACGTCAGGAGGTTTTCTTCACTCTTTGGAACCTGGAACTTGCCCTGCTCAGGAGAACATCTTGCTGACCAAAAATCCAGAAGGACTCCTGGCAGCAGCCTTCACCGCCAAATGTTCAGCAAGGGAATAGGAATTTGCTTTTCAGCCGAGAGACATCACCGTGCACGCGGGTCAATGATGTTTGACTGAAAGAGAGCGCTGTGATGGATCAAACGGAAGATGGAGATTCGTTGACATTGGCGGCCCGCCAGCTCAGGGGGCCTCCAACTGCAGTTGATTGATTTTGGCATGGCCACCTTGTAGCATGGCGGCAGTGGAGACAGCAGCCAAAGTTTCAACACATGGTAAGACCTTGCTCACCGCAAAAACAGCAGAAGGCAAGTCTTGCTTGATTGGACCTGTTCTTGAAAGCATCTTTTCCAGGTCAAGAAAGTGCTCAGAGATTCGAGGGAAGAAGGCCTATCAGGCGAACTGTCGAACTGTCTGAGTGTCATAGTGTAATTCATACCAGTGTGACTTGCAAGCCTTATGAGGGGTCATTTCTGGCAAACGCTTGGGTCATTTCTTGCTATCGATGCTAGTTGCCGGGCTGGAGTCTCTGGTTCCTAAGACCACAAAAGCTTTCGAATACTTGAGCCGGGGGACATGGGTCTAACCACCCAGCTACTTGTGCGGATAAGTAGCCGTCCAAAGAATTGACTCGACGGAAGGCCCCAGAGATGCATACAGACATCAGCTACGATAGCTACCTTTCAGATGACTTTGCCCTGGGAGCAGCTTGGCTGCATGCGGTGCCGCAGTGCAAAGCGCCCCCATGGCCTTTTCGTTAGTAACTTTGCTTTGCACCAGTATTTGCATTTGAGGTCGTTCTATATGCAATGGCATTAAGCGACTACCCATGGATCTCCACGCGGCTGGGAACCTGCAAGTTGTTTGAGTGTCTTGGATGGATCCGAAATGATCTCAGAGTTCCTGCAAGTTCTCCATTTTTGTTCCACCATTTACTTCAGATTCTTGTCTCCAAAGATTTCGGATGACTCTGGCGAAGCTTCGCCAGTGTCTGGCCGGGTGCCAGTGTGCCAGGCATGCCTGGCCAGTGTGCCTGGAGTTTTTGGGTGAGCAAATGGTGTTTCGAAGTGTTTCGGGTTTTTCTCTCAGGTTCATTCATATGTGGGGCTTCAGGGAGTTCATCAAGAAGCGGACCTGCAAGAAGGGTGTGAGCCCTCGCATTGTCGAGGCATCCTGTTTCCGTATTTATTCTTTTGGGGGGGACGAGGCCAAGTTCGACATGCCCGCGTGAATCTAAACATCTTGAAGTCTGCTTGAGGGAAAAAGCTTGACGGTTTCAACAACTCTCGCGGAAGTTGCTTGACGGTTTCTTGACACGGTTCTTGAGTACAAAGAGGCGAGGAGTCGTCTTCATCCCAGTTGTAGATCCATCCATCAGTCTCTCAGGGCTTTTTTCTTTCCCTGTCGGTCACCCACATGTCAACCGCATTGGATGGTGTGATTAGGTCTCATTGGATATTGAAGACACAAGGCAGCCAAGGGGGTTGACGATATTCTCAAAGCTTCATTGGTCAGTTTAAGGTGTATATATATATATATACGATATATATATATATATTTGTATTCTTGTCTTTTGCACATGGGACTCACCCTGAACATCTCTGAACATGGTGTGTAGGTCAAAGAACCTCCGACCTCCCCAAAGATCGCCCACCGAGTCCACCGTGTGGTGGTTGTTGTTTTGTGGCGTCCGATCGCTCCGTTCGTAGCGATGCCAGGTGTCCACTGATAGCGTCTTTGTTCCTAGTAGAAATGCCCTTTGTTACTTAGTAGCGTCCTTGTTCCTAGTAGTAAGGCCAGGAGCTACTAATAGCGTCCTTGCTCCTAGGTGTTATCCCCCGAGCTGGCAGAGCTCCTTGAGGGACTGCTCGAGCTGCATCCGGAGGAGAGGTTGTGCCTTGGGGAGCCAGACGCTGAGCACGTCCGCGGCCTGTGCGTGCGGTTTCAACGCGAACGCGAACGCGCGTGTTTCTACGCGCGACCTTTGCAGGCGGCGGGGGGAGGTGCTCTTTTCTTTGGGGATGAGGAACAGGTACGACAGCGGAAGTTTGGTGTTGCGTGGGATGCGAAATTCTTAGGCATTGTGGTGGTCGCCCTTGTTCGATTGGTGTGAGGTGATCTGATTAATTTGTTCGATTGGTGTGAGGTGATCTGATTAATTGCAGACGAAACCTACGTCACATGCAAATCCGAGAAAGAGGGGTGGTTTTCTATGCTGCTGAGGTCATGCTACGACGACGGGGTGCAATGGTCAGCTTGGAATATGGTACCTGGCTTGCACTTGTTGTATCCTGTTGTTTGGCTCTACCCTCTACCCAGAGTTCGTTGTGTCCACGATATTCGGCGGACCACCATGTTCTTGCGGTTTCGGAAGAGTTGTCCGGCGTGAGCAATTGGGGTTCTTACTTCAAGTATAGGAAGAGCTGCATGTGTGCGTGAAATCGAGCTGCAGGGTGCTGGTGCCGCTGCAGGGTGCCACTGCTGTGTGCGCTTGGGAGCTTGGGTGCTGGTGCCGCAGCAGTACCGCTCGAGGGTGCTGCTGCGACATGTTTTTTGGCCCTGTGCGCTGCAGTGTGCCCTGCGGAGTGCTGCAGGGTACCCACAAATCTTTTTGCTATCGGGGGTCTATCCTGGCACATATTTTTTTCAATATCTGCTTCATGGTTGTCCGCCTGCAGACATTTGGTTGTCCACATCGGAGACTTGTGATCTTCGATGACCCGTCCGAAGCACCGATCACAGGCATGGCTCAGTGGCTCTCCCACAGAGCGGCGCTGCATCTGGGTGAAGATATGACTGAAACCAGGTGAGTCGGAGAGAAGGAAAGACACACCAATCAGAAGACCTGGGCACTGCATGGTACTGCTTAGTCTTGGCCGGAACTTCCGTGTTTTTTTTCAGAGGTTTGATCATTTGTCTTGGCCGCTGGCACATGTGCATGAAAGAGAGAGAGAGAGAGAGAGAGAGAAAATCCGAACTCTTTGAAGTCCCAAGGTATGATCAGCTGAGCCGGTTGACTGACAGAACATGTGGGCCACTGAAGAAGTGCCAGCACCTTTTGAAGGGGGAGGGCGAGTCATGCTATGAGTGGCTCAATGACTCCAGAAGCACACCGAAACAATCCGAAACTTCTTCAGCCGGCCCATTGGGGCGTGTTTTCTTTTGACAGCACCCGGCCGCTGAGTGATTTCTGAAGATTGTTTGTTTGAACCGAGTGTTGCTTCAGGTTCTAAGAAACAATCTGAATGGATGGTGGTCCATGGATGCGGTTGTGAATGTGCCAAGTCCAGACCCTTTGCTGCTCCGAAGGGAGCGATCTCCAACACTTTGCCAACCTTTCCCAGTGCGCAGGGGGATGAGTTCACCCTCCTCGCCATTTTTGAGGATGAAATCTAGCATCCTCCCGAAAAAAGCCTGAATTGCCGGCTCCTTACCCCTTGAGTTGTGACATTTCGGACGTGCCTTTCCGTTCACAGCTTCAAAACAGGCCACCAGTCCGGGCTTGGGCCCATGGGAAGGCAGGCCACCAGTCTGACTTAAGGGCGGTCGGCGAAAGATATTCTTCGACCTCCAGCTTGGGCTGGTTTGCATCAATTCGTAGTAGATCTGAAGAGAAACTGACATGCTGGGCCGCTGTGCACCAGTCCTCAAGATTCCCATTTGGTGAATGTGGACACGTGGTGCACAGCTTTTGTTTGATTCTGGTTGCTCTGGCTGACAATGCTGAGCCACAGAACAGGCCCTCGGGAATTAGTGCAGTTTCACCAGCCAGGATTTGCCCTCCGATCTGTCCTTGCCAGAGTTCGATGCATCGGCAGGATCTTGGCTGTGAACCAACTCTGAACTGTAAGCCAAGACGCACCTGACTGCACCTGCAAGGTGTAGCAGGAAGGATCGATTTTAAATTTCAGCCAGGAAGTTTGAATCGGCCAGCGACATGCGGTTCTCGGTGATATTTGTCAAAACATGGCCGTGGGGCTTCTTTTCCAAGTCCGTGGACAGAGCAGAAATGCATGGGTTCAAATTGACATGTTGCATTCAGTCCACAGTTCTTGCAATGCTGGGAGTGGACGCTGTGCCGTCGCAGCAGACAAGATTTGCAGCAGCTCAAGGGCCTTCTCAGGATGGCGGCATATGGAGGCGTTTGGGTTTTTGACAGATTGATGCTGATGCTAGCAGGATGGCAGGCTAGTGCTGCAGGCTTGCCCACAAGGCAATTGGGAAGATGAAACATCTTGGCTGAGAGGTGTTCTTTGACCCTCACTCTTCCCCTATTCATGGGGGTCGCGCTTCGGGTCGGGGCGGGTGTAGCTGAGTAGCTGCATCGCTGCTTGACAGGTAGCAATGGGCTGACGCCAGAGGTGGTGTCTTTCGCGCAAAAGTATGGGCTCGCCGCCACAGCGCAGGACCTTTCCATGAATCGTGGGCATTGAGCGACACGCGTAGTCTGCAGAAGCAAAACGGCATAGCCATTTGGCAAGGGGGACCTGAAGGTCAATCCTCTTGAGTAAGGAACTTTGTCTCCTTGGACTTTTGTCAGGAAGAGTTGCAGAAGCTGCTGAACGCATCAGCCACGTTCCCAGACCTTCTTGTGGAAGTGGAAGTGTCGTGCTGGGTGATCTGAGGCACCAAGGTCTAATTCTCGCCCAGCAGTACACTTCACTCTTCCATCCGAAAATTGATGGAACATCCAGGTATTCCATGTCATGTCATGTAAAAATGCCCAATAGGTACTGTGCTTTCTTCTGGGACGGCCCAGGTGAGCCTGGCCCAGCGCCGGGTGACGGTCTCGGTGCCGGCCACGGTGGCGAACCTGGGGCCGGGCTTAGAGGTCGTGGGCATGGCCGCTGGATCGAAGAAACGAACCTTTTCTTGGTTTGTACGTGAAGACTTAGACTCTAACACATGGCCTGCTGGTGTTTTCTTCTTCCTTTCTTTGAGGACAATTGCCCTGCCCCAAAGGGCCCTTTGACATTGGATGAGTGAGGTTTAGCCTCAGTTCTTGTGAGGCTGTCGATATCTGGGATGAGTTCACCTTGGAGTTCTCAGATCACTTCTCTGTGGAGCTCCGGGGGCCCGACAGTCCAGAGGCACACACCGACCCCCGAGAAGCACATGACCGATCCGACCGTGTGGTCACTGCGAACGGTCACTGTGGTTGGCTTTTCGAGTTGGTTTGGTGGCGAAACGGTGTCATCCACGGAATTCTTCTCCTACATCCCACACCTTCAATGCTGGGGACGAAAAGAGCCCCAGCAAGCTGGATGCAACTCGTTTTGCGCCGCAGGTGCCTCGAAATGAGGAGAACTTGGTCGTGCAAGGTGCTGCCAACGCTTTCAAGGTGTGCCCGGGACGGTGGGACGTGGCTTGCCCTGTTTTGACCACCAAAATGGAACGCAGAATTGTGGCGACATTCGCTACTAGGAGCAAGAAGCTACTGTATATACTGGGAACAAAGGGCATTGCTACTAGGAGCAAGGACGCTACGAACCGGGCTCCTGGCATCGCTACGAACGGAGCATTCTTACTACTAGTAACAAGAACGCTACTAGGGGCTCCTGGCATCGCTACTAGGAGCAAGGACGCTACTAGGGGCTCCTGGCCATAATACTAGGAGCAAGTAGCTACTAGTAACAAGAACGCTACTAGAGCCAAACCGAAGCAGATTTGTGCGATGCCGCGCTGCAGATTCCTGCGCTGCAGGGGTGCCCGGAACTCGCCAGGACGCCTGCAGGCCTTTTCCAACCATGCGCTTTATTTGTGAGCATCGAATACCCTATGACAAGGCCGGGTTTCTTGGAGTTCCTGGGATGTTCTTATTTTTTTTGTTGGAACCCGTACATCAATGCCAGATGGATCAATGATTGGCATTGAGATTTGTTGGCTCACGATAGGGGGACCTAATTCCGCTTGATATTTTCTGGTCGAGTTCTTCCAAATGAGATGTGTGTCATGGCTATTTAAAGGACTTCGGCACAGTGGCCCCCCCACCAAAGATTGTTCTTGTTCATTGAACACTTTGGATGCCCACTAGCCAGCCAATATCAGTCCTGGGCCTCAGGGCCTTGGCGCAGCGAGCGCCTCCTTTGTGGGCGGCTACCTAGCGGGGTCGGTGCTCTGTGCCGAGGAGCCGAGAGTGTCGACGCGAGGGACGGGCCGAGGAGTCCGAGGAGTGCGAGTGCGGTAAGAAACATGACGATGCTTTTGGGTGGATTTTCGTGACGCGAAGAGTACAAAGGGAGTACTTGCTTGGTTAAGAATACCCCCCAAAGTACTTGCTATTCAGCTATTTTCGTGGTTAAAGGGGGTGAATTGGCGCTTCAGAGTATTCTGCTGCGGGCACTGACCTTCCACCCACAGAGGAGCTTCGGCATCTCCCCCCGACGGAGGCTCGGTGGACGGGGCTTTGTGGGCGGTGTGTGCTCCTGTCGCCCGCTTGACATGTGCGATTTCAGCCCTGCAAGATCCGGTTTTGCGAGAAAGAGCTGACTGATGCTGACTGTTTGGAAGGCCACATCTGGACCATGGACCTCCCTCTTGGGTCTTCCCTCCAAAAAGTCCACCACCAAGCGCGTGCACCCGTGAGAGGCCAAGCGTCGGGACCGTGCCAATTCCAGAGAGGTCCTTGATGTGGCCAGGGTCTCGGATGTGGCAGACCTGTCGGAAGGCACTTTGGATCAGAAAGGGTGCACCCGGGTGCGCACAATCCAACTGAAGTCTTCTGGTTCGTTTTGTGGCCCCTCAAGGGCTGCACAGATGGGCCGCCCAATTCTGCTTTTGCCGTGCGTGTCACTTCCACTCATGAGACGGACCGTTTGGCACTCCATCTGGTGGGAAGATGGTCCAGGTGGACTGCCAAGCTCCCACGAATGTGGCCGGCGTAGAGGCGTTGCTGCAAGCGCCGGGGCTCCAGATTTGCGGGGGTGTCTTGCACTGAAATGACCAAGACTTGCGGCCTTCGCTGTTGAACATCGCCCCTGCAGACGGAGGGTTCCCCGAAGACATTTATTTGCGAAATTTGACTTATTTACAAGACTTTGTGTACCAATTCCACACTTTTGAGAAACGCAGGGGTGGGGGGCGACACCCGCTTCGCAGATAGATATTTTTTGGATGTATGCATCTTGCAGTTTTTGGCATCATGAAGGATTTACCGTTTTCTTTGTTGGTTGCTTTGTGTTCGGTTCTCTTGTTGCAGTTGCGGCTGTCTGGTCGGTCACACGAGTCTTGCCTTCCAGGTCCCCTACTAGGTTGCAAGATCTCAGCGTCAATCCTCGAGAATCCTTCGCGCAAGCACTGAGGAATGTGTGAAGGTGTCAAACTTGAAACACCTGGTGTTGAAATCAAGAAAAAAGGCAGACTCACAGGGGCGCTGATTCCTGGAGGGTCACAAAACATTGCGTTTACCAATGCAAAGCACATGTGTCTAATTTCGCATACATTTGATAGCTTCAAACCGCAATTCTTCGGGGAACTCACACCCTGCACCAGGACCTGTATCACATTTAGCAACTTTCAACTTCATCTTGCACTTTTTTTCCCCAAAAAATCAGTCTTCAATGGAAGGAAAATAACTTTGTGATATAGCATTGCTTTCATTCTCTCCCCAAGCAGTCTCCGTGTTCCAGAGTGTTTTTTCGCCAATGAGTGCCGCTGACGGTCGGGAACCTCCCATTTGCAGCCTCATAATATACATATATACAATAGGACCAAACAGTCTTAACTCAAATCATTTTTTTTTTTTTTTCGGGTGCTTCTTAAGAAGATCTTGTTGGCTGGTCGTTATGCTGTGTGCATGAAGTGCGCCTCGATGCCTTTTGTTTGCGTGTGAGGGCGATAGCTCGAGGGTGGAACCCTGGAAATGTGTGGGGGGCTCAGCAGATGTTTCCAAACAGAGAGATTAAAACATATTACAATTCTCCAGCCGGTGCAGCTTGATGGATAAGCTTGATGGATTCGCGCTCCGCTACTTGAGGTGCCCTGCAATTTATGGTGCTTTGCAGGCCGCAAAAATGGCCTTTGGTCATGTGTGAAGCGACAGACGGTGTGACCTTGTTTTCGTCTGAGTCTATTTTTGTGTGGTTCAGATTGGAATCCATACTCCATCTGGCATGCGATCCCACCGGGTCCTCAACTCAGCTCAAACAGAGACAGCTGACACTTCCAACTCTGTCGGAAGACAAACACATCTTTGTTTTCTCCACCCGAAAGCGGACGATCCGCTCAACAAGACAGTGCCTTACCGATTCTTACGGTGGTTTTTTGCAACTCACTCACAAGTCATGGACGATGAGGAGTCATTGTACCCTTTTGCGTTGTAAATGGCTCTAGGTACCGATTCCGCATGGCCTTGTTCTCTGCCTCTTCGTGCCGGATGGGAAGGTGTGCTGGTGCAGCATTTTTGTCGGAAGAATTGGGCAATCGAGAACTCACTTTGCCAGTTGTTGTGGTCCTACTGCCCCAACGATCATGCAGGAGGTAGATCCTGGGGATTGAATATTTCAACAAACCAATCAGTGGTAAATCTGCCACTTCACGAGAAGCAATGGTTTATATATATATATATATGTATACACATATATTTTTATACACACATATTTGTTTTTTGGGAGCAGTCCTGGGGCATCTTGCCAATCGGTTCACTTCTGTTGGGATAGTCACAGTGCTCAGATTCGAGGGGAAAAAAGGTGTATGATGGTCTATGTAGAATTATTAGGACTATCAAGACGAACTTCCGTCCAACAACTGGCCCTTCAAACCCTTTGATAGGCAGGGCTTCTCCCTGCTTGACAGTTTGATATCGTTTGCCAGGAGGAGGATGTTGGTTTGGACATTGAGATGGTTGAACGGCAGAAGGCGATCTTTAACGTGCCAACCTCAGTCGGCATCCTTTTTTGGCATTCGATGAATCGATGTTTACATGGGCCTCAGGTCGGACGATGTGCGCTACTGATCAATGTGTTTTGCACCCAAGAGTTCTCCAAGTTTCAGAAGTTTCAGAAGGCTGGATTCGCCGACGTTTCAATTGGTTTTGGAGGCGCAAGGTACCCAACAAACGGCGAAGGGAATTTGGGGGAATACGTGGGGAATACGACCAGACAAGAATTAGCTACTAGTAAATGATGATGTTTGCAGAAACTCATGTTGAATCCAGACTCTGACCCACATCCATTTCATGGCCATGTGGACGTAGGGACCCTTAGGTACCTGCACCCACTGGGCGTTCGACTTAGAGTCGATTGAAAGAGGTGTCATTTCCCGACCCGAAACGGAAAAGGAAGCATGTGGTTGTCCTCATCAGGGTAGAACTCTTTGTTTGTATCACCCTGAAAGCAAGAGATGTCGAGGATGTCGTCGACCGATCCGTCGACTGCGTTCGGAGGCCTCGGAGGATTCACTTGGGATGACGCAGATCTCGGAGAAGTTCCCGTACATTAAATCCGTTTGCCAGGCTGTGGTTGCCTTAGACGTTGCAGCCAATTATGTTATATGATTCATAATGATTCATATGTATTAAGTGATTCTGTATGTTTGTTTATATATTCTATAATCTGGCTTAAATAGGATGCAAAAAGGCAAGAGCAAAGGTCTCGTATCACATGAAAAAGAGCTCTGCCAAGGAGCTTGTTGCCAAGTCAGCTTTTAGCATCCCCAAATCAATCTTTTTCCTTCGAGGACTCCTTTTTCTTACATGCAATGAGGTCAAAAATGCAAATTTGCAAAGATAACTGTCAATAGGGATGAGGTCCCAGTATAGTTGCTATACAGGTACATGCCATATACTTTTGGCTCAAGTGCCCAACCAGGTAAAAAGGAGCTTTAGCGCGCGAGCTTCATGTTGAATTAAGGGCTAGAACGGGGCCAGGGCACACCTTTCCATCCGTTCGCAGGTTATCAGCCGTATCCAGACTCCTTTGAGCTGGGTACGAGCTGCGGCCTTACACAACACCATCTAAACGCACACGCATCGGATAGATCAGTTACCCTCAGTCACTGAAGATGGACCAATCCGACGCCAGCACTGCATCTTTTGGAGCAGCTGCTGCGGCCGCAGATCGGGTGAGTGCATCCCACAACTCTAGTCCAGGTACGATCGAAGCGGAGACTCTGACAGTGGTGAGAGAAGTTGCGACAGGTAGAGCACGAAGTCGTTCCCCGTCAGCGCAATCGACACCACCGGGGGGGACACCGAGGTCAGGCCGTAGCCCTAGGGAGACAAGGAGGAGGACTGACACCGGAGCAGTGAGAGTGTTAGCATTGGAGGATGGGTCAACTGTACCAGTGCCATCGGACAGCGAAGCTGGAGATGGAGCAAGGGCAAGCACTGACAACCTACAACTAGCACGGGCCGATGGAGACCTGAATGCGAAGTGTGCGCAACTACTTGCCGAAGTGCATATGTTGAACCACCAAAACGCATGGATGGTCGAATGTGAGCAGAGACAGAACCAGATTATACAACACGAGACCGAAGTCCACGAAGTAGTGATGGCACACCTCGAAGAATGTTATGTCGAAGGATATGGAAATCAACGAAGAATCTCCCAACTTACAGAATCCAGAGACTGTTTGCTCTCAGCAGCACACGATTTGCAACACCAGATTGACACTGATCGTGTGGCAATGCGGGATCGTCTCACCCAGTTAGGGGAGTACGCTGATCGCAACAGCGCAGAGATGGTTAGTCAAGTTGTGAACATCGGCACGGAAGAGATCCAGGCTATATCGGCGGAAAGAGATCGAGCCGTAACCGAGGTCATGACTACAATCGCAGATGCTGAGAACGTCAAGGATCTGTGTAGACAGGAGGTAGTTGGACTACAAAGGCAGAGTGCCAGGAACAAACACGAATATGCTGAGGAGATGAAGATGAGGGAAGCAATGTATGCAAGCAAGATCACATGGTTATCAGAAGAGAATGAGGAGCTCAACAACCGATCAAATAATCAGGACAATTTCATCATGACTATCAGGGAGCAATTGAACAGGGCGAACGAGGAGTTGACGCAGGCGAGGATTCAAGGATCCGATCGACCGTCTCAACCATCCAACGCCGAACTCAAGAAAGCCGAAGTCAAGGTGAACATGTTGGAAGAAGACATTCTACGTAAAGAGAGGATGCTGAAACGTCTTCAGGAAGAACTGATCGAATCAAGCGCAAGTGAAGCACAATTGAAGGTCGCACTGGCGTTGAAACCACCAGACATGGGATCAGAACCCAATGTGGAGAATGAGATGATGGCCAAGCTTAGAGCGGAACTCGGACGTACCGAGAAGTCATTAAGGTCCGAGGAGAAAGAGGCAATGGAGTACTACGAAGGTATGATGCAGAACCAACAGGACATGATGGAATTCGAAGCGCATGCAGCACGGCTCAGAGATGAGAGGAATAAGTACCGGAGGAGGTACGAAGAGGAGCGCCTGAGTGCAGAGAATGCAGCCGCAACCGAACATGGTGCCGCCTCTTCCTCTAGCTCAGGTGGCTCCAAGATATCTCGGAAGGAACACGAGAAGATCAACATCCCTGCATGGCCCAAGATACACGACTTGGAGGTTTGGAAATCCCAGGTTGTAGCGGCAGTCGTGACGGCATCGGGCGACGAAAGACAGGAAGACTGGATCCAGTGGCTCTCGGATGCCTTCAGATCACCATATGACCCATTTCTGCTCGAGACATCAGGCGAAGCAAGATTCGCTAGCATAGACGCTAAGCTAGGTATCACCCTACATACGATCATCCACGCAGCAGGTGAGAGATCTCATGACGTACAACTGAAGGTGAGGCAGATGATGCAGAGACGTGCGAGAGGCACAACTCCTGGAATGGTCAAGGGACGAGAAATGTTAGCGTTGATCGTCGACAGCTTCCGAAGTGCCGACAACGTTGATGTGATGTATGCATCCAAGCACTTATTCGATCTAAAGTTCCCTGGGGATAATCAACTATCCAGATTCCTTGGACAGTGGGATGAGATCATATCAGGTATGGATGCGGATGACATGCTTCCTGACAAAGCACTCCGCAACCTGCTTTGGGATAAGATTAAGGATTCCAAAGTTATGGCGTTAGACTTGTCCGTGTACGACAACATGTTGGATAAGGACCCGGATAAGACCTACCAGAAGTTACGAGAGATCATGGCGAAGTGGATACGGAAATCAATCGAGACCACAAACAAGAAAGAAAGGGAAAAAGCTTTTGGGAACCTCGTGAAAGCCACACCAGCGGCGGAGAAGAAGGACCCTAAAGCGAAACCCAAGAATACCAAGGCCGATCCACCGAAACATGACGCCGCTCCAGTACTTCCTCAGGCTAATCCGAAGGACCACAACAAGAAGGACAAGAAGCAGGATCGTGGAAGATCAACCACGAAGAGCCCAAAGGGGGATCGTGGCAGGTCAGCGACTCCAGCAGATACGTCCAAGATAGGATGCGCCTTCCACTTCCATGGGAAAAACGGATGTTCTAGAGGAGACAAATGCAAGTTTAGTCACCAAGAGAAGCACAAGAGTTCTGCTAAGAAACCAGAAAGCCTCAAGGGTGACAGATCAAAGAGTCCTGGTGGCAGGAGCAGTAGCCCTAAGCCAATGAAGGATCAGGTCTGTTGGAATTGGCAGAAAGGATCGTGCAAGTTCGGGGATAAGTGTCGACGTCAGCATCACGCTGCTCCTGCTACAAAACAAGAGGCTACAGGCAAAGCCAAGCCCAAACCGGCTGCGCCAGCCTTCATGCTTTGCGGAGACATCGAGAGTGATGACGAGGACATGCAGCCCGCACTTCCCAACGTACAACGAGGTGAGTTGGCGCTTCGCTTTAAAATCAGATTCGATGACCAGGCGAATGTGACCACGTTCCCCTGCGACCCTGGTAACGAGCTAAACACCCGTCCCCTCAGGAAGAAGAAGAGTGAGGTGCAGAAGGTGGATACCGAGCTCATTTCGTCGTTGAGAGCCCTCAGAGTGAGCAATATAGCTGCACGAGTAGCACATGCCAAAGGTAAGATGATGGAGCTATTTTCTGCTGAACACGTTGCCAAGGCATGGATACAAATCACTCAAGATGAAGGAATCGAGGTGAACGTCGACCTGTCTGACTTCAACACCAGCGAGGTAGTAAGGAAGGATTCTGTCAACTACACGATACCAGGAGACACGATGTTCATGGCTGTGGAGAGGTATGATGGACCACCGATACGCTTCATCATGGACACGGGATGTGGACACGACTTGATCTCAAGAGAGAAAGTCAATGCCATGGGCCTTACCACCAAGGAAGGACCCAAATCCGTGAGCTTCATGACAGCGAATGGTGTAACTAGTACATCAGAGATGGTGGACATCAATGTGGACGAACTACCCATGAGATCCGAGGCACGCGTGTTGGAGAGCACACCATCAGTCTTCTCCATCGGGAAACGGTGCATGGAACAAGGGTACTCATTCATATGGCCGGCAAATCAATTGCCATACCTCATCGACCAGAACGCGAACAAGATTCCGCTATCGGTGCGTGACAACATACCCTACATCAAGGTGAATGATGATGACGGGAGATGTTTACCAAGACCAGACGGCTTGGCTACGATACTTCATCGCATACTGTCAGGTGTGGGGCATGAAGACGAGGCCACAGCAGGTCAGGAGACACAACAAGAGGAACCTCCGCCCAAGAAACCACGGAGACGGAGGAGAAAGAAGAAAGATAGCCAGAGAGGTCAGGATGGTGAATCTGATATCAATCCAGCTGTTGCAGGCGTCGAAGGAGAACCAGAGGAACACGGTGATGACAGGTATTCTCCTGAAGAGGAATATGACGGGGAAGACCCGAGAATCGATCGTGATCATGATGGCCAACCTGAAGAAGCCGAAGACGACGAGCATGGAGGTGATGCGGATTCTGAACGAGAGGAGAGTGACATTGGTGAAGATGAAGAGGGGTTATTGGAAGTTGATGTGGTTGACGGGGAAGCCAGACTATCAAAACCAGGAGTGCTGAAGAACGAGGCGAAATCCATATTGCACCTGATGACGCACCGATACAAGAACCCATACTGCAAGTCATGTGTGAGAGCAAAGATGAAGCACTACAAGACTAGCAAGGGAGCTTTCAAACGGAAGTTGAAGGCATTCGGCGACCTTATCACTTTCGATCTCATGAACACTCAGAAGATGGCGAGAGATGGGATCATGCCGGATAAGGATGTATTGGTGATTCGGGATCGGTTCACTGGTGTGATATGGGGTTATCCTTTGAAAGCAAGCAATAGTGACGAAGTGGTGCAGGCGATGAAGCACTATATCGGTAAGAGAAAGGTCACCAACGCTTACTCGGATGATGCGCCACAATTTGAAGCAGCACTCAAGGAACTCCGGATTCCACTAGACCAGTCGCTTCCAGGACATCCCCAGAACAATTCACTCGCCGAAAGAAACAATCAGTTCATGATGCTTACC